AGGGTGGACCAGTGCCTCTCAAACTTTAGCGTGCATAAGAACCACCTGGAGAGCAGGTTAAAATGCAAATTCCTGGGTCCCAACTCCAAAGATTCTGATTAATAAGGTCTAGGGTAGGGACAAAGAATTTGCATTTGCAATAAGTTCCCAGTTGATACTGAAGTTGGTTCATGGACCACATTTTTAGAGTACCATTGGTGCAAATTCTTCCTCTTTGAGTTTTACTGTTAACCTTGCTGTTTTCATTAGTTTTCCAAAAGAAGACTAGATGTACCTATCTGGGCCACAGTAATAGAAGGAAGGATTTTTCCATGGCACACATATCTGTCTCTGTTTATACTAGCCCTACATACTTAAAGGATTGAAAACTTGCAGCCCGATCACTCTACTCTAACAGTTGTTGAGCCACTAGGACCCAAGCCTGGTCATATCTTGGGAGCGTCATCTCTTCCACCAAGTGGGGACCAGCTTGCTCTTGTTTCCTTAAACCTAGTGAGCTGGCATGGGTCCCCCTAGACCCTGTGCCTCATGAGCTGTTACCTCTCTCTTTTAATCATCTTGGGCTCTGCTATTATCATATATTGAGGATGCATTTAAGATGGTTTGGTACAATGGACTTGATGAATTTATATGATAATTTTATCCTAAAATCAGTTTAGTGTGTCTAACAATGTCTGTCTTCATAGCATATGTTAATTGCCTTTGCTTTTGCTTGAATACAAAAGACACTAATATTTAGGCAGCAAATCGTCTGCTTAATTATATATCTTCATGTCAGTATTCACAAATCAGATAATCTTCATGACTTATGATATTGCCATTACAAAATAATGGTGAATAGTTACAGTGGAAACTATGGGTTAGTCTTATGTTTACATATAACTTATGTTATAAGTGTTCACCCTCTTGTTCCATCTAAGCACTGTTTCAGCAGTCTGCCTACCAGATGGCCCTCCATGAAGATAGTTAATGAAAGCTCAGTAGTCTATTCTCTGAAAGAAGTTACTTATAATTTAGTTGGAGAATACTATGCAGACTAAGGAAAAACATCTTAGTAATGTTTAAATTCACTTAAAACATCATAAAGTTCTGGATTTCCACTGACCAGTACAATGGGAGGCAGAAAATGGACTGAACAGACAGACTCAGTTTTGAATCACAGCTCTATCATTTACCAACATGTAGTATTAGGCCAGTCACGCCACTAGTTTACTTCCGTAAGCTTAGTTTTCTCATCTGTAAAACAAGAATAACAAACTCCTAGTTAATGGGGGTGATTGTGAAGATTAAATAAAGTAGTGCATGTATATGCATATAGTGCTCAATAGAAGTCAATTGTTATTGCTATTCCAGGAGAAAAAAATTATTTGTATCTTGGTAATTTGAAAAGGCATCATGAAGGAGATGGCATTTGAGTTAGGCCTTGAAAATTGGTAGGATTTGTTTGGTATTACATTTTTTCCAAATATTTTTATATGTGAACTGTAAATCCATTGTAAAAAATATTAAAGTCATAATGATGGAAAAATCACCAATGATCCCACCATTCAAAGATAATTCCTGTTAATATTTTGGTGTGCTTTCTTGTCTCTTCTATCACTTAGGTCTTTTTTATTATTTGATGTGGAACAAAAAGATATTAAATACAACTCTCCTTATCTCAAGGTTGGCTAAGGTTTCACAGAGTGCCAAGTGTCTCCAGATTTATGCAGGATTTGCATTTGGGGTATTCTTTTCTCAGCATTAGCCCACCACCCATCTTCATCCTAAAAAAGGCAAAGTGAGTAAGTGATCAGAAAGTAGGAAAGTTTGTAGAAAGAATGCCTTTAGGTCAGTACCTCTCAACTGGAGGCAATTTTGCCCCCTAAAAGATATTTGGCAATGTCTGGAGATATTTTTGTTTGTCACAAATAGGGAGTGGTGCTAATAGCATTTAGTGAGTAGAAGCCAGGGCTGCTGCTTGCTATCCTGTGATACACAGGACAGCCCCTCACAACAACGACTCATCCAGCCCCAAATGTCAATAGTGCTCAATTCAGAAAACTTGCCTTAAAGAGAGAGTTGTCCTAGAGTAGATGCACTGCTCCACCCCACATCTGTTGGAAGTGTGCTTTGCTCTCACCTTTATTCAAGTAAGGAGATTCAAGAAAACTACTTGGAGAGGTGGCTAGGATCCTCTGGAGTTTGGTGGACACAGTTACCAGCATTTGACTCACTCCTGGAAAATCTCTAAAGAGGAGGGGCTGAGAGAAGCAATCAATGGCCTCAGAAAAAAGAAAAAGAAGCCTGACCTAAGAAGTACCTGCACGTGGTGATTTCAATGGGATAATCATTCCTGTTTTTCTGTTTTTCTGTGCCATAGCTGCAATCATCTCAAAAGAGATCACTTCTAAGGAGATATCTAAAATAGAGATGGACCACCAGGAGTGGAGGTTGAGAAGACAATAGTAAGAAACTAGGCAAGGAAGGCATCTCATGATTGGAAAAAGTAGGAGGGAGATCTGCAAAGAGAGAAAGGGTAGGAGGACTATGTGGGGCCAGGGAGATGGTCTTTAAAGAACACCGATACACCCTCTAAAAAGCAGCATTTAAATGCTTGTCACATGCTAAGAGAGGATGGCAGTGATCTTTTCTGACCTTTCCTTTTCTTCCTACCTTCCTTCAACCCAGCAGGATAGAGAGGCAACTGAGTGAGTAGAAAGGAAGATGAAAGAACAAAGTGTGACAGTTGTGAAGAAAGCAACCGATGCCTTCTTCCTATCGTAGGTTTCCTAAGCTGGGCCAGGAGAGAAGCTTGCATCAAGTAAGAGACTGAAGTTTTGAAGTTAGCCTAGGCTAGATTTTTTAATATCTTCAAATGACTAGACAAGCTAAAGGATCTGCTCACAAGTTCATCTTGGCTATGAGAAGAATGAGTCTCCAGAGTTTGATTGAAAATAGTAGTTGTGTGGAAGAATAAAGTTACTTTATATTTGTAGTACACACATTCCAGCTTATTTAATAAAATGGTTACATGCATGTGTATAATAAGTATTATATGAAAATATATCTATATACATGTAGAGAATATGTCTGTGCGTGGTTGTATCATATATTAATAGTTGTACATATACGTGTATGTATGTGTTTATATATTTGGATCACTCTGTATAAAGAGTTTTTGCATCATGCTACATTCATCAGTATTTTACTACAAAATTTTTCTCATGTTATTGAAATAATTTGTCATAAAGATACATCACAATCCACATAAACAACCCAAATTCTGTTTTTGGATATTTCAATAATGAATTACTAATTTACTACTGGAAATAGCACTGTAATGAACATCCTTATAAATCTCTGCCTATATTATTATTTCCTGGACTAAGATTATGAGTTTTCATTTTAGCGATATTGATATTTTTGTCCAATTGCTTTTAAGAAGGCTTTATCAACTTTTAAAAATTTCCAATTGTGGTAAAAGAAACACAAAACTTACCATCTTAACCATTTTTAAGTATATATTTCAATGGCATTAAGTATATTTGCATTGCTGTGCAACAAATTTCCAGAGCTTTTCCATATTGCAAAACTGAAAATCTATGCTCCTTAAACAACTCCCCATGTCCTCTTCCCCTCAACCCCTGGTAAGCACCATTCTACTTTCTGTTTCTATGAATTTGACTATTTTAGGTAACTCATATAATTGGAATCGCACAATATTTGTCTTTTCATGACTGGCTTATTTTACTTAGGAAAATGTCTTCAAGGTTACTTATGTTATAGTATGTGACAGGATTTTTTTCTTTTTTAAGGGTGAATAATATCCCATTATATGTATATACTACATTTCGTTTATCCATTCATCCATCGATGGACATCTAGGTTGCTTCCACTTCTTGGGTATCGTGAATAATGCTGCTATAATTATGAGTGTACAAATATCTCTTTGAAACCCTGTTTTCAATTCTTTTGGATAAAGGATGTGAATGGACATTTCTCCAAAGATATAAAAATGGCCAACACGCATTTGAAAAAAAAATGCTCAAGGTCACTAACCAGAAGAGAAATGCAAATCAAAACCACAATGAGATGCCACCTCACACCCATTAGGATGATTACTGTAAAAAAATAAAATAAGTGTTCGCAAAGATGTAGAAAAATTGGAATCCATGTGTAGTGTTGGTGGGATTGTAAAATGATGCAACTGCTATGGGAAACAGTATGGGAGTATCTCAAAAAATTAAACATAGAATTACCATATGATCAAGCTTTATGAATTTGTATGCATACCAGCAATGTGCATCTTTACATATTAGATGCACAGCCTCACTCCTACCCCATTCTATTGCTCAAAGCAAGTCACAAGATCAGCTTAGTTTCCAAAGAAGAAATAAATGCCGCTTCTTGATGAGAGGCGTGACATGTGTGTACAGTAATAGAGGAACTATGGCTGGCTATCTTTAGAGACCATTGACTACGGACAAATTGATAGAGGGATGATGATACTGCTTTCTTTGATTACTTGTGAGGTTTTTAAATATTTCCCAGTCATTTGTAGTTCTGTGAATCATCTGTTCATGTTTTGTGACTTTTTTTTTATTTCTCCAGCAGCTTTTAAAATTACTTTGTAAGTAGTCTTTATATATTAAGTTTGTTGATTGTAAGAAAATAGGATGTTCACCCATTTTCTATCATATTTGTTGTAAAACTCTTCCTTAATTTGTTCTATAGTATTACATTTTTATATGCCAAATATATTCTAAAATTTTTAATTTTCAAGAAGCAACATCTGTTGAAGTTTTTATTTTTGGTAACATATCCAGTGATAATACACAAAATATATAATCATAACGAACACTCATCATCTTTTTTGGCAGCTCAACATCCTAATGCCTTTCCTAGTTTAAGGGCATTTCCAATTGTCTGGGTTTGGTATAGGACAAGGCGCATACTCCCAGGGTATACATTTGGTTCACTAAGAGAGCAGAGAAAAAAATATTGAAATAGCTCTTTTTATTTATTTTGTTTTTTAAAAATATGGAAATTAAACTTTACCAATACTTAACATAGACATGAAGCCTGGGGCCTTTGCTTGGCTCACACAGCAGGTATAGGAGATATCCTGAGAGAAGATGGGGCCTGTAAAACATAGAAGGTTGATGGTGCTGCCCTTCTGTCTTCCTTCCTTTTCAGAGGATTTCCGAGTGTTGCCATTTACATGTGCCTAAAAAATAGGTTTATAGGTTATAAGACCCAGCTTTACTTAAACCAGCCTTTAAATATAGACGTGTCTAGAAAGTTTCGTGCTAATAAATGTGGACTGAACATACTATTATCAGTGCAAACATAAGTGAACAGCAAGAAAATAGCAGGCTTGAGTTGAGACTACTTCCTGTTACCCACTTTAAACACTCATCAGATCTGCCAAGAGATTGGCCATCACAAGTGAAATGAACGAGAAGACTGACGCATACAGACTTACACCCCACATGTACATTTTATCTTGATTTCTAATGGGAGCATGAAGGCACTAGGACTGGCAGAGGGGTCTACATAACCATCTAATGTGTGTAGACAAATCTCCAGACTTTTTCTCAGACGCTAAAATTCACCGGATACTCAGCCAGCACTTACAGTTTTTGCTGTAAGCATAATGATAGATGTTTATACTCAAATTTGTTGTTTAAAATCTTTCTGAGGAAAATTTTCAGCTCTGACAGCTATGAAAGATTGGTGCTGAAGAACAGTTCAGTGGTCACCAGGGGAAGGGGGCTGGGGTGGGCACAGGGGGTGAAGGGGAGCACTTACATGGTGACAGACGAGCAGTAGCGAATAACTGAAATTTCACAATGATGTAAACTAATATTAACTCAGTAAAAAACATAGTGTTGAAATAAATTTAAGAAACAGTCCTTTGAACACTCTCTCAAAAATAGCTAAAGTTTTAGTGAAGCATATTCAATCACAGTCCTGTTAATAAAACATTTATATCTATTGGGATACAAATAAAATACTATTACTACTAATAATAATACAAAAATAAACACAATAAAACAAATAAAATACAATAATTTTCATTTTCATCTTTTACACATCATTCAAAAATATGTATTTGTGTATAATATTTACATATAGCCATACATGACCATGTGTAAATAAATAAATGTGTATAATCAGGAATACTGCTGGCCCACACAATGGACAAATTAGAAATAGTGCTCTTTCTTTAAAAGTTTTTTAATTAGTATATCCTTTATTTCTACAAAATACAAAAGGACTGAAATATTCTGTATAAACTACAAAGATAAAATTATTGAGCATAAAATAATAGAAAATAAAAAATTTAATCAAAATAATTACAATAGCTCAGCCAGAATATGTATTTTTAATAGTCGTTTTACAGAAATGAAGTTCTTTATGGTGATTTCAATGCTTACTTGCTATAGTATCTCATTTTTCACAAAAATCATCTCAGAATTACTTACTGGTTTTCTTGAGGTGTAGCAGAACTTAAGTAGTTTTAAGTACATTTTAATTTTGAATCTCTATATTCTTCACTGGCAACTGAAAGTAGCGAAGTTACTTGTAGCGTTAGAGCTAGAAGAGTGTTTGGAAATGTGTCCAGTAATTTATTGCTGCAAACATCTCGATATTGAAATTGTGATATTTCCGAGGAAATCAATCTAGAGTCTAGAAAAAAACTGAAAGATTTTAGTTTCTCAGATATTCACGACCCATCAATATCACATTCTCTGTTATAATCATCAATTGACACCAATTGTAACTTGTTATGTAGCTGTAGTATTTCATATTCCTTATTTTTCCTCAAATGATGTGTTATCTAGAACACCGAAACAGGCATAGTATTCTCTCAGCATCATAAAACTTTCCTTAATGATGATGATATTATCAGATCCAATATAAAAACCAGAATTCTTAACTTGGAAATTTTGGTTTTGGATCAGAGATGGGTCGATTCTGGGATTCCCAGTCAAAACTAGTCTTCTCACTTTTATTTTTGTCTACAACAGAGAGGTTCATATCTATGTCAAGAAAGTACAACTTCTTTAGCAACACAAATATTTTTCACAAAAATCACAATTTCTTTTTTAAAGGAATTTCTTAATCTCCTTGAAGTTTCAAAGATATTATGTCTTTTGCAGTTTCTGCAATATTTTGCTTATAACTAACATTTTAAAAAATATGATAAATTAGTACCAAAGAAATACATATAAAAGTTGATAGTTCTTCAATTATATTTTGGCTTCTATCCTAGAATTTACAACTCCATTAAGGCCATAAAAAACTCTAAAAGACTTTTTAACCTCCCTCTAATTGTGTTTTTAGTAACATGATGCTACCAACTGCATTTCCCATTGCAAATTCAATGATGACTAAATACTTATATTTGGTAAATGTGTTTCCAACATTCTTTAATTTTTATTAAGGCTAAAAAACAGTTGTATAGTTTGTGCAATATAAAAAGTATTCAGTGATGTCAAAGAGATTTTTGCTGTCTCATTTCCCCCTAGTTTAAAAACTGCACAGAAAGCGACATATAGGATATTCTATCATTTTCAAACATTGTCAATTGTAATTTGTTATGTTTTCTGTGTACATTTATGTTATTATTGTAGCCAGATTTTAGATTTCCAGGTTTTATCTTTTAAATAGTCTACTAAAAATATTTACAATCCTTCTTTAATTATATCACCTACTAGAAAAAATTGCCCAAAATGATCTCATGTAGAAATAGAAGACTTGCATTTTGAAATTCACGGATCTAGCAAGGATTGTCATCTGTTCTACATGGCTTAGATTGCGCGTGTACGCGGTGTGTAGGAGCCAAATTGCACTGGCTGGTAAAAGCCTACTGTTGCGTATTCAGGAATTTTGTGAGCCAGTTATTAAACCATTGGGAGCTTGAGATCAGCCAAAGGAGTGTTTACACCATTGAAACTGACAAATGCAACAAATCAGGGCTTTTTTTTTTTTTCTTTTTTAAGAGAGTCAGTTTGTCATCATGCCACCGGTTGTACCTAAAATAATTGAATAATAATTAGCATTGCTCATCTTATTAAATGATCTCATTCATTCCATCTGCTATAATCTTAAATTTTTATTTCATCCCCTAAATAATGTGCAATATTGTTGTTTATTCCTGACGTTCGTATTATGCAGAATTGTCAGTCATAATGTTACCAAATTTTGCTATGGTTCCTACTAAATGAAGAAGATTCCCATTGTCATCAGTTTTGATTATTCTCTGAATGCTAAATTGTTTTGCTAAGCAAGTAATTAGTTGCAGTATACATTTACTAATAACATGTTAATATTTTCTCATCTTCAGATAATTTATTTTCTATAGCATCAGTAATTATATATTTTTTCAAAAGTTTTAAATTTTAAACACTTAATAAAATGTCCGTGGTGCAGTTCCCTCTATTCCTGTTTTACAACAACTGAGTGATAAAAATCTGCCAATCTGTGACCTCATTCTCTGTATTCAGTTGTTTTCTTTCCATCCTTAAAGGGTTTACGGAAGAAAATTTTTTTTAGAAAGAATGTGTTCAGCTTAAAAAATAAGGTAACAGGAGTTAGAATTTTTTTCACCATTTGTCATAACTTTTGTTTAAGAAGTTTCCAAAAAACTTCCTGTCTATGCTTTCTTCTGGAAGATAATCTTGTCATTTTTGAGACGGTTAATCGCCACAAGAGAGTTCTGCTGTTTAATATTCACATACATGGACATGGACCTGGATCACAGGAAGTATAGTTCATTTAATGGGTTCCACATGATTTTTTTTCTCTCTCACTTTTTTAAAGGAATTCATCCATTCTTATAACAGAGGAAATAGACGGTGAATTCACCACTTGCTACCTCTGTGAAGTGTCTTTGCTAGGTTCTTCTGAGACTAGATATTCTTCCTTTTTCACTCTAGCATTCAATGATCCAAAGAATTTTCTCTCATTTTATTGCTTAGTGGATTCTCATTTTCTGTGATACATTATTTTCTTATCTTTTGAATATCTGGACAGAGATAACGTGATCATTTAATACATTGACCTTAGAATCTGCAAAATTTTTTAATTACCTTTATTTAGTGAGTCATTAAACTTTAACACCAAATAAAATCGTGTGATAACATTTCACAGCAACCAATAAATAATGACTATGATATAATTAGATCATTATGTGGTCATGGTAAATAAATATGACTTATATAGTGATTCATGTCAGATGAAAGTACTATTAGACTTAAATTGGAAACTCTGCAGTATCATTTTAGTAAAATAACAATACCGTGAACTGCAAAATGGAACACAGAATTTAGCTAAATTTTACCCATAGGGAATTTTTCTTTTACATTTTAAGATGTTTTCTTATGAGCACATGAATGTGAAAAATAGCTTCTAGGTTTAGAAGCATTGTTTATCGTTATATCAGCAAAGTCTTTTGTTTGTTGAACATGTTTCTTCTTCATGAGTCAAAGCAAAATAACATCTATCTACTCTTTATGAGAAGATATTTTGCTTGATTGGTCAGGGAACTGTCATAAGGATACAAAGAGCCTATCTTTGAAACCTAAAAATATAAAAAAGATTTCAAAATAATAAACATGTGAATGGCACTCTCGTAGTTATCATGTCCTCACATAGGACACAAGCTGGACACCTGTAAGCAGCAGCTGTGCTCTTATGCTGGAGATGCACATTCATAAGGTCTGGAGACCATTACCCTAGCATAGTATAAGCACAAATAAAGACAGAAATTGCTGTTACTATAAATAAAAACAAAATTTAAAGTAGTTACTGTGATCAATGTATTCTTTTGTGATTTCCTCCATTGGTTTTGCCTTCTATTTTTGCTTATAGAGTTATTTCCCTCTCTGAGATCATGGCACTAATCATCTATATTTTTCGCTATTTTTTATATTTAAAAAAATCTGTTTAATTCTGTTAAATTCATTTTAATCCAAAATATTTAGTAAGAAGAAAATTTTTTCTTCTCAGAGTTTTGTCTACTGTATACTCATTCTTTATTTAATAATCTTTCTGTATTCACTTCTGATGTCATTTTTATCATAATAATTTTTCATAAACTGAAATCTGCTTCTGTAATATCTCTTTTATGTGTCCTGTTCTTGTACCATTCACATGCTATTCTATTCAGTATAGCTTAATAATACATTTTATTATTTGGCAAGATGACTCTCCACTCATTAAGCTTCGATTCTCTTTTTTCATAAGACATTTTTGCCCATTTATTCTTTCAGATGTATAACAGAGGACTGGAAAGAGTGCAAATAAAGAGAGAAAAGATATTTCAAAGAGGGCAATAGAGTAAAGGTAAAAGAATTTCCACTGAATAGATGCCCCTCAGGCCCAAAGCAATGTTGAGTTTGAAAAAGGAAGGTTGTCTTTTTTTCATCACAGCTATCTCGAAGATAAATTTATCCCCTGATATCAAACCATCCAGGTAAGAGAATCAGAGAAGGAGAAAATATAGATAAAAACCCTAGTAGAAATGTGTATCAACACAGCAGTCTTGCCACAGCGCTTGCTGCTCATTTATTTCGCTTTTCAGAACATGCCGTGTGAACAGAAAAGTTTCTGAAAATATTCTGAGAAAGTAAAATTTTATTTTTATAATGAGTTCTCCTAAACCTGATATTTGCTTCACACTGTCCTCCACAGAAACCTTACCTCTTACTAACTTTTGTGAATTGTCGTATAGGTTTTTAGTAAACCTGAGTCAAGGTTCAAGGAAGCCCTGGTTTTTAAATTGAGAGGTTTTGGCTTGGTTTCATTTTGAGGTTTTGGAGGTTATAGAAACTCAAAACAAAATGAAAGCTCTAGAAATCCTCAAACCTCCATTTTATAAGTATTTTGTAATGCCCTCTGTTTTACCCCAAATGAAATTTATAACAAATTAACCTACCTACACATAGATTTTAAAGAACTGATGTAAGTCTAACTTTGATATAAAGGATAAATAGGAGGAAAGAAATTTATAATTTCAATATGTAAAGCCTTGGTCACAGTTACAGTAAAAGGTGTAAGGAAGTTGTTAGATTTTTGCAACTCTACATAGCAATCACCGTAAATAAGATAGCTCCAAAAGCAGATTGATGGGGTGAGCAGAATTGGCAACTCAGAAGCCTAAGTGGAGAGACTGTCAGTAACGTGATTTTCTAAAATGGTAACCCACTTTTGATAAAGTTCAATCCAAAACAAAATGCAATCCTGTCTTTATTTTTATGTAGCTGCATACTTGAAAAAGTTAGTGCATACCTAAAACAAGTTCTGGGCTCATTTCATTACACACGTCCACTTTCTGAATGTATTCCAGAAGTACTGCAAGCTATTGTCGTTCCTAAGGGATAGGCCTTCATGGGCCACCGCATGTGACATTCCCACTATCATAATGAGATGTAAGGCTGGACCAACCATGATAATCTCAGGTATGTTAGACAGATAGGTGACCACAGATAGAAGAAAGGGGGATGGATGGAGGACCACCCAAAATGAGCTCTCAAACCAAAATTCCAAAACATGTGGGGAAAACTAACCCCTGGAAATTCAGCCAACAGAATCAACAATCAGGGGATGAGAGATCCCCACCAAAAAAAAAAATTTAAGTATAAAATAATCTGAAAACAATTTCACCAAGTTATCCTCAATTATTTCTGTAGCTACATAAACAAAATATTTTCACTTACAAAAGTCTGTGAATTTTCAATAGGATACTTCTAATTACGACTATGTACATAGAATGAGTGCTTCATAACCTGAGCTAGATTTTCTTTGCAGTTTTTTCTTGAGTGAGTCTCACATGCCACTTGAGGGAGAAAAAGCCTATTTCAAACCGAATTTTTAAAAATTTTAACCAACAAATGAAATGTCAAGGGAATAATGGCCTTCCTGAGGTTCAGAATCAGAGACATTGGCGTCCTTCTGCACCATGCCCCTCTCCCCTGGAATCTCGAATCTCTCAATACCATCCCTGACACCTGCCTGATCCACTCTCAGTGAAATCACTCCTCCTGAGGCCAGCGTTTCTTTCTAACTGAAAAGTTCTTCATTACACTAATTCAGAACACGATAGGGAGCAAAGTGAGGCCGTGAATCGTGGAGCACAACTGAGTTTGAATCCTGGCTCTGTCACTTATGAGCCGTATGAACTTGGACAAATTACGTAAGCCCTCCACACCTCCATTTCTTCACCTGGTAAATGGGGATAATAAGAGTACCTATTGCTCTGGTCATAAGAATCAGCAGTAAACGTCTATGAAGTTCTTGAGACAGTGCCTGGAAGATAGTAAGTGCTACGTAAAAGTTAGCCAGAATTCTACCCTTGGTCTTCATTGCATTCTTTAATTACTAGAAAACTGCTGGAGTCCCAGCTAAGGATCCCAGATCCTTGTATGATTTCTTAGATTGCATGATTTTTATTCTCTTTCCACCCGTATCAGGCTCCAATTTGGCAATACACTTTTGAAAATTAAGTCCCTAGATTGAACCTGTATCTCAGATGTGTTCTGATCTGTGCAACACAGAGTGTGTTCATGCAGCAACTTAAACGCAATGCCTACTCTACTTCTAGTAATATGTCCTAAAACCTCATTCATATAGAGAGCTTGAATCTCAGTTAACAAAAGGAGGTTTTCAAGAATTTTTCTTTGTTTTCTTAGAACTGAATTCAATTTACGTTGTGAGTTTCCATGCTACTGAGTGGCAGAAAGGTAATAATTCGAGTTAATTCAAATTCAGCTTTCTCTGCTTCCCAGGGTTGCATCAGAATTCTGGGAACAGTAGGTTCAAAGAACTCAAAGAGTCAAGGTATCAGGATGGAGTAGGAGAAAGCAGCTGGCTGTCAGTGGGTATCTACACTATCATCCACTCAGATATCCTGGTTCCCTTTTCGACTTCAGTCATTGGTCATTTGGCAGGTACCGTACCCTCCCACCTTCCCCTTTCGTTCCCATCGTTAAGGCCTCTTTAAGCCCCCCCCCCCCCCCCCCCCCCAGCTTCTCCTCTAAGTCACACCTATGTGTGGGGGAAGTTCTACTGTAGGGCCTGCTCCGATCTGTGGAAAACTCTGCTGTGTTTTCAGGTCCTGGATGTACCTCCTGCTGCAACGCCATCCTCTGACACAATGAGCTCCGTGAGGCTTACGCCACCCAGACCACAGTTAAGCCTCCTGATCCGGTTGACGGTGGGAACTGGAGCTTTCCTGTTCCCACTCGTACTCCAGGCACTAACCAGGGACAGAAGCTGAAGTCTCCTCTGCTCTCCTACCTCCAAACTTTTCTAGGTTGCTCAACCCTCAGCCCACTCCCAATGCTCCAGGACGCCCCCAGGTCTCATCATGTCCCCTCTGAATCTCTCCATCCTTCAGGATAAGGAATCTTTGTTTACCTCTGTGAAGGATATACTGACCCTGATTCATCATGTGGTCTTCCAAATAGGCCTAAGCTCTTTTGAAAAATCAAAACTTATGAACTTTATCACATTTTTAAAGTCTACTTTCTCCTGTGGTGCCCCTTTCCCAAAGAAAAGAAGGCAAAATGCCTAGCTCCCCAAATTGGAGGTAGAAAATAGGAGGGAGAGAGATAAGGGTAATAGGAAACATAGAAAAACGTTTCAGTTAGAATTACAAAATTTCTCACCTTATTACCTTTTTTGATGACATTCAATAAAATTGAGTCAATTTTATGATCAAATAAGAAATATTTTTTCAGCACTGTGCTAGGTGCTAGGTACATAAAGATGAATAAGACATGGGGCTCACTCTTAAGAAATTTACTCTCTTATCACTCAGGTAAGTCTCATTCTCTCTATTTCTTCTTCTGCTTTATTTAAGATCATGTAATTTTTTAACTATGCTGTAAGTTTTTCACCTGTCTCCCTCCTTCAAATCTCCTGTTTTCAATTTTTATGTGCCTCCTAACTCATCATTCACATTACTAAAAAATAAATTTAATTGTATCATTCTTTTACTTAAAAATTTGCAGTGGATCCCATCATCTTCAGGACAAAATGCCAGGCATGATCTTAGTGCTTAAAAATATTATTTCTTTTAGTTCTCAAAACAATTCTATCAAGTAGCTATTATCATCGCAATTTTACAAACAAGGAAATTGAAGCTTTGAGAGCTTAGACCATCCCGATGGAGTTCACAGAACCGGGAGAACTAGGTCTCAGAATCAGCCTTCATGTCTCTAGATCCACTGTTTTAATACTAGGCTTGATGTTCTGGTCTCCTTAATCAGTTTCCTCTCTCACATTAGGCAGTGATGTATTGTAAGACTACTACGGCCATTACTACCGTTACTGCTATCACTGGCACTTTGGATTACACAACCGTATTTATCTTCAGTACAAAGAAGGAAGGAGGAAGAAGACACTTACCTAGTTGGCCAAGTCGGTCAATCAGCCAAATGAACCTTGGCAGTCGATGGGTGACAAACTTTGAGCCAAATCACCCTTGCATGCAATGTATGATACGCAAAGACTTAAAGATAAAATACTCAGGGATCTGGTCCAGTTCATACACCACATCATTGTGAAAGTAGAATGGAAAGCCCAGTCTCCTGAATCCTCTGGCACTAAGCCATAATGCAACACACAAATTCACTAATCCGAGTGAACAGAAACCTTTTCATAAGTTAGCCTGGTATAACAGGCAACTTAACCCTTTTGAAAGCTTTAAAATATGACAATTAATCACATCTCTAGGAAGCATGTGGTACAGCTAAGTGGCGATTCACAGGCAAACCTCAAAAACACCAATGTTGCTTATGACTGTAAACCTCACTCAAAGTTTTTTCCCAAGTGGTTTCAATGTTCAGTTGGAAGAGTGACAGTTGGACCTAATGGTTTTCTTTTCTTACTTTGCTTCAGAAACCAATCCATCTCACTGCAGCAGTGCTTTGCAACCTTTCTAAACCCATGATTCCTTTGGAGAAACCTGAAAATCTCCTGACACCTTTCCCTCCACCTCTAACTCCCACCCTGAGCAGTGAGCTTTGTGTGTGCAGAAAATAATTCCATTTCCTGCATATCATGTCAGACAAGAAAAAATTATGGCATTTAATTTTTTAAGTTATTATATGAAAAGAATTGTTTTACTTTCCAAATGTAAAACTATATTTTAATATTTTTTTTCAAATCACATATCATCCTCTCCTAATATCCCACTCTGTTCCTGCCACCTACTACATCAACTGTACGCTTCCATTTGTTAACAATTCATGGCCTATTCTTGGGCAATATTGAAGTTCACTTTAAGGCTCTAAATGGGGCTACAATGGCCAACTATTTAGAATATTTGTCATTCACAAAAGAGATCCCAGCTAAAGAGGAAGTCAAGTGACAGAAATGAAATTCAGAGACTCACAGGATATCCAAATGTCAGGGGCCCCAAAAGATTATCTGGTCTCATGCTTTCCACCCTTGATCTATGGAATCTGAATCTCTGGCCCTGTGGCCTGGGGATCCGGATTATAAACAAGCATCGAAGCTGATTCTAATAACCACTTGGGTTGGAGAACCAGTTACTCACTCTTATTCTATTATTGCACAAGTAAGCTAACTGAAATGCACAGACATCAAGTGCAGTTAACCCAGTTCACGGACCTAATTCTCCTTTCTCCTGGTTATTAAAGCAACTTTTTGCAACAGCCTTTAGAGTTTTATTTTCATTATCAACTCCAATTTCTAGTCAGAAAAAGATATATTTTTACAATTGTCTTATCTATCTCCTTTTCCAAGTTGCCTAGATAGCTAAAAATGACAGATTGAACACATTCCTTTATCTCCTCCAATAAGATGGCAGTAAAGGAATAAAAATGGTATAATCCAGCAAGGAAATGGAGAGGCTTGTTCACATTTTGAAAGACATAAAGCAAGTGGTAGAGATGTGACAGAAGAAAGAGTTTAAACCTAAAGTACATGCCCAAGGGGATACCAATGAGAAGTGGACTTATTTGCCTTTGAGAACTCAGGTGCAACTACCATGACACACAGCAAGGAGTAAGGCTTAAAGCAAAAAAGCATATGGATGGTTTGAAATTCCAGATGTACATTCATACACTGCCTTCCCCACCCCATGCAGAGATGCCAGCAGCCAACTGCCTCCAACTCCCCACTGCTGAAAGCCAGAATTTTATTCTCCAGTGAAAGTGAAAGGGTGAGACTTGTGTTCAGAAACATCACACACAGCAGAAGGTGGCAGGGAGGTACAAGATTGTAAAGGAAGTGGGAAATAGTCAACTGCAAATTTTGCCTTATGAATAGCTGGACCATCAAGCTTTTGCATAACTAGGCATCTACCTACAGGCAGAAGTTGGAGGATTCATCTGTAGAGATTTTGAATGACCACTATCTACTGAAATTGTGTGTATGCGTTTCTGTGAGAGAAAGGGGTATGCACCAATGAAACAGCCAGTTCTCTAGCAAATCACCAAAAAGCGAAGACAGCCCTGTGTCCGAGGGCTTCTGCATTAATTTGCTAGAGCTGACATAACTACGTGCCACAGACTGGGTGGCTTAAACAACAGAAATTTATTTCCCTGCAGTTCTAGAAGTCTGAGGTCAAGTTGTCAGCAGGGTTGGTTTCTTCTGACTTCTCTCTCCTTAGCTTAGGTCTTCGTCTTCTCCCTGTTTTCACGTGATCTTCTCTCTATCTGGGTGTCCCAATCTCCTCTTAAGGACACCAGCCATATAAGATTAGAGCTCACCCTTAAGACCTCATTTTACCTTAATTCCCTCTTTAAAGACTCTATCTCCAAATACTGTCACGTTCTGAGGTGCTAGGGGTTAGAACTTCAACATATGAATGTTGAGGGAACACAAGTCTGTAATAGCTTCTAAAAGATTTTTAGTGTTTTACTCATAATCATGGCAATCAAGGTCACTAGACATATGAAGAAAGGTCTCTAAACAACACATTCATTCACTCACTTACTCAAAGAAATCTCAAAGAATATAAGTAGATAACAGTGAAAAACTTCAGGTACCAATTAAGATCTTTAAAGAAATACAAGAAAATCCTGAATTGATAAAACCAGAGCTGATAATATAAACGAGGAGCAATCAAAAACAAAAATCTTGAAAAATGAAACTATGATGATAAAATATAAATACATAAATAGAGAGAAGAGAAAGTCAAGGAAATCTCTCAGAAAGTTGAACCCTTCAAAATGTAGAAACTGGACATATGAAAGCAAAGATAGAGATTAACCAACTCAATCTGAGAAGTTAAAATTATGATTAATAAGAATCTTAGAAATAGATAGCAGAGAACAATGGAGGGGAAAGTGTCATCAAAGAAACAGTACTAAACTTTCTCAAATCTATATCTTCAGCCTGTATCTCCCCCTTGAACTTCAGACTTAAACGCCAACTCAGCTGCCTACTCAATATCTCCATTTGGATGGCAAATGGCCATCTCAAAATTAAATGTCTAGAATTGGACTTCTCTTGCAAAATCTCCTATCTCTCTCTCTCTCTCTTTTTCTTTTTGGTGAGCAAGATTGGCTCTGAGCTGACATCCACTGCCAATCTTCCTCTGTTTTGTATGTGGGACACTGCCACAACATGGCTTGAAGGGTGGTGTGTAGGTCTGCACCTGGGATCCGAACCCATGAACCCCAGGTTGCCAAAGTAGAGCACTTGAACTTAACGACTATGCCACTGAGCTGGCCCCTCTCCTATCTTAATAAATGAAAAATTTTCAGTTGCTCAGACCAAAAAATTAATAAAAACACTCAACAAATACCTCACACCTTCTAATAAATTAACTAAAAATAGATTATAACTGAATGTAAAATGTAAAGCTATAGAAGTTCTAGGGGGAAAAAAACAGGGCAAAATCTGTACAACTAGGGCTTGGCAGAGTTTTTGAATTTTAATAAAACAATGTAGTACACACAAGAAAAAATTGATAAATTGGGTTTTATCAAAATTAAAAATCTCTGCTCTATGAAAAGCATTGTTAAGAAAATGAGGGGCCAGCCCAATGGTCAAGAGGTTAAGTTCACACACTCCACTTCAGTGGCCCAGGGTTTCACCAGTTCACATCTGGGCACGGACCTAGTGCCACTCATCAAGCCATGCTGAGGCAGTGTCCCACATAGCAGAACTGGAGGGACCTACAACTAGAATACAACTATGTACTTGGGGGCTTTGGGGAGAAGAAGAAAAAAAAAAGAAAATGAAAAGAAGAGCCACAGATTGGGAGAAAATCTTTGCAAATCACATATCCAATAAAGGATATATGTCCAGAATATATAAATAACTCTCATAGTTCAACAATAAAAAAACAAAGAAAACAAAAAACTCAAGTATTTTTAAATGAGCAAATGATCTGAATGGACTCTTCACCAAAGAAGATACATGGATGGTAAATAAGAAGAAGAAGAGATGTTCGACATCATCAGTTATCAGGGAAATGCAGGTTAAAACCACAAGGAGATAAAACTGCATACCTATTAAAATGGCGAAAATTTTAAAATCTGCAATACCAAGGGCTCACATGGGTGCAGAAAAACTAAAACTCTCATACACAGCTGATAGGAATGCAATATGTTACAGCCGTTTTGAAAAAAAGTTTGGAAGTATCATATAAATAACTTTGGAAAATAGTGATTTGGTTGGACGTTGTAAGGCTAAAGACAAAAAACTACACAATCACAGTGCTCTAGTTGGCACAGAGCTACATATTAGCAGTTTTTAAATTACTTTACAAATATACTAGGATTGAACAAAGGTTTGTTTGTTTGTTTGTTTATATAAACAGCCAGCCCTCGTGGTCTAGTGGTTAAGATTCAGAACTCTCACATCACAGCCCGAGTTTGTTCAGAGAATCACACCACCCATCTGTCGGTTGTTATACTGTGGCAGCTTCATGTTGCTGTGATGCTGAAAGCTATGACACTGGTATTTCAAATATCAGCAGGATTGCCCATAGTGGACAGGTTTCAACAGAGCTTTTAGACTAAGACAGACTAGGAAGAAGGACGTGGTCACCCAATTCTGAAAAAATTGGCCAGGAAAACCCTATGAACAGGGGATCACCCAGTGGTGCAGTGGTTAAGTTTGCACGTTCGGCTTCAGCAGCCCAGGCTTCGCAGGTTCAGATCCTGGGTGCAGACCCATGCACTGCTTAACAAGCCATGCTTCGGCAGGCATCTCACATATAAAGTAGAGGAAGATGGGCATAGAAGTTAGCTCAGGGCCAATCTTCCTCAGCGAAAAGAGGATTTTTGGCAGCAGATGTTACTTTAGGGCTAATATTCCTCAAAAAAATAAAAATAAAAAAACCCTATGAATAGCAGCATTGTCTGATACAGCACCAGAAGGTGAGAGGGTGGTGTAAAAAGACCAGGCAGGTTTCCAGTCTGCTGTACACAGGGTCGCTAGGAGTCAGAATTGACTCAATTGACACTAACAACAAAATGAAAACTATCTTTCCAACCCTTTCATAATTGGAGTCGATCCTCTCAAACCCTGATTTACTAACCAAGTTTATGTAATATTCTAAATCCTTTGTTGTCATTTTAACAATCTTTACAGCATATTCACGCGGGATAGAGCCGATCTCAAGAAATCACTTTCTTTGCTCATCCATAAGAAACAACTCCTTATTCATCAAAGTTTTATCACGAGATTGCAGCAATT